TCCCCAACCTATCTGAGGAGAATCTTTTCATCTTCAATTTGGTTAAAAACAATCAAAGATCCAAACAGGGCATTTTACTTCCAGAGTTTCCTTAACGATGCCCGAATCGTTTAATTTATGCTTTATTTATTTGCTTCATTGTTCGCTAAAACATGATTTGAAATATGATTATAATAATACATAATGACAACTCACACAGCTGGGTCACTGAGGATGCAGAGAATTTTGACCACCGTTTATCTAACCTTTTATGAACCTTCAGTTGACTTTCGTGTGGGTTCTGCATATTTGGTCAAAACATCTGGTTTTGATCATGAACCTGGGGAATTCCAACTTCTACATAGTTTCTCCGTGGATCAGCTCCCCCTTCTTCCTTCATTCTTGCAACCCGCCTGCGATGGTACAGTTTATATTTTAGACTGAGACATCACGCCATGGCTCTTGGGACAGTCCCTGGTCTATAATTAAGCCTGAGAAAAATTCCTCCAGAAAGCTTAGAAAACCATTTTTTAAAAATAATAAGAGTAGGCTCTAGAAATAGATGTACGCTCATGCGTGCATAATCTGGAGTTCCCTAACTGTGTAGAAACAAGCATCTTATTTGGGTCGCTCTGTTTCTCTTACAAACTGATAAGCATCGTTGGCTATTTTCAGGGGAAGAAGCAGGATGCAGAATCTCTCCTAACCTTCCCAACTTGCCGTTCCCGTGAGACCCCAGTTTGGTGGGAAATGAATGCTGCCCAGTGAAAGCAATAGAGAAATTTGAAATGTGGCCAACAGTTGGACCAGAGGACAATGTTGTGATCACCCCCATTATTCAAAGGAAGAGCAGCTGTTTGAGGCAAGGAGATGCATTTCTCTAGTGCAGTATTTTTCAACCTTGGCAACTTTAAGATGTGTGGACTGCAACTCCCAGAATTCTCCAGCCAGCATTGCCAAGGTTGAGAAATATTGCTCTAGTGGGTTATATTCTTGTGCAACGTTCCATAAATCAAGGAAGGTCACAAGATTTTTCCTATTTTGTTTAATCTGTTTATACAATTCCTCTGCACTTCTCAGGAATTCTTCAGTAAAGTTTGGGTATAGTCCCCTTCTGGGGAAATTGAGAAGTTTACTCACATGGTTTGGGCTTGTCCTAATATTGCCATATCAACATGTCTTGGGAGGAATCACTGCTTGTCGAAGATGACCACATATTCTTCTTGGCTGTAACCCCAATTCTTGTAATTTATCAAGTTATCAAGATGAATGCATGTTTCCTGTGGCTGAGGAGGGTGGATAGCTGAAAGAATTGTTACAGAATATTGGAAAAATAAAGCTAGATCTCATCTGCAGCGGAAGATTGTCTTGTTGGTCAATGATCACATTAGTTATTGTTTGACTGGGGAAGATGGGGGCAAGAAACAGCAAGCTGGCCAGAATTTTTGGAGTTGTTTTCTTTGTGCTGTGAATAACCAGGCATCCTATTTTTTTTTCTTTTTTTCTTAAAAGTAGATTTTATATTGTATTTATTTTTGGGTGGACTGTTTATATTGTTAATTGTTAATTTTGGCTCTGTTTTGGGTAACCCTGAAGGATGAGGATGAATTGGATATTTGTGGGAACCAGTTTTGCACCATTATTTTATCATTAATATGTTCCTATACTATCTAATAATGTATGGGGGGGAAGGGGGTACATACATACACACACACATAAACATACCCATACATACATGTACATTATTAATACATGAACATATATGTGCGTGTGTGTGTACATTTATTAGGCAGTACATGATGTATATATAACATTACCACAAATGTATAGGAATCACTGAGCTGTTTTTGCATGTCCCTCTTTTACTTCCAAACTTAGAAATATTTGACCACCCAAATGTCATATTTCCAGGAAGGGTGATGTCCTAATTTTGCCTACTCCTCCACCCCAACAAAACTATATCCATCTTTTGGAGATTCCCACCGCCTGGAAAACCGAGGAGAAAGGGCTTGCATGAACGCACATGCAGACTTCTCCTTCCATGGATGGATGAACTCGGCTTCTTCCACTTGGGGGGCTTCCAGATGTTGTTGGGTTCTAGCTACCGGCTGCATTGCTGGATGGGGATTATGGGAGCTGAAGTCTCGAACCTCTGCAGGTGGTCTGATTTGGGGCACCGGATAGGTTCTGAGTAGATTCTGAAGCCGGAAACGCAGTCTTGCAATGCTCAGATTCCAGGGAATGTGCTACCTTTTCCGTGACTGGGCAACATCTCCCATGCTTACGTGCACCTTCGGGCCGCATCACGCCCTGGATCTGTGTGCTCTGCAGGAGAGAGAGCATGATCCCGGCTCCTTCCAGGCCAGCAGTGGATGCTCCCCCCGTCAGGGCCTGCCCGCATTTCCAGCTGCTGCTTCTGCTGCAGAGTAAAAATAATTTGCCCCAAGGTGCAGGTGACGCTGAGTCTATCGCTGTCCCTCCCCACTAAAAAAAACCAAAACGAGCTTATTTCCACATCCTGAGCTGGGACACTTCTGCGGAGTTTGCCGCCCCAGAAAAAGACTGGGTTTACGTTTCCAACAGGAAGGCCATCTTTGCAAGAACGATTTCCGGGGATTCCTCCCAGTCCTCGGCGTGACTTTTCTCCTCCTCCTTCTCCCTTCCTTCCAAGGGCCTCCAGAGAAGCCAGAGCAGATTCCCATGGAGAGCCGCTCCTGCGTCCTGATCCGGCGCGATTTGGTGGCTCTTCCGGCGAGTCTGATCAGCCAGATTGGGTACCGCTGCCACCCCAAGCTGTATTCGGAAGGCGATCCTGGAGAGAAACTTGAACTTGTTGCAGGTACTTACGAGCAGGACCTCCATCTAGGTACAGAAAGATGTGGTCCGCTTGACATCACGGGCCACGTAAACGCCAAATGGAAATTACTAGCCATTCGCTTGTAACAGACTAAAACCATAAACTCACAACTGATGAGAACCCAGAAATTGCATCGCAGGCGCAATCTTAGTGTTGGAGTCAAATCGCAGTTTAGTAGGTTGATTGGAGGGAAGGGAATGTCTTTTCTTGCCAGATTATTACTATTATGGTTGGTTGCCCGGTCGGCCAGATGCTTATTTGGATTTGGCATTTTTATCCACCTATCCTTCCCAAGGACTCGGGATAGGCAGAGGTTACAAGCTTAATAAATTATTATTATTGGTGGTGGTGATGATGAAATGGGTAATCTACACTTAGATTCACAGTCCAAGACTGGTGGAAACTTAATAATTCAAGTCCTAACCAAGGACCTAAGAATGATTAAGGTAGCATCTGAAGATATAGGCAGTTCCAAGCAGGGTATTTTTTTGTAAAATTAGGGTGTTCAGGTCCGATAAA